GGAGTTCTCCTGGGAGCAGCAAGGAGGAAGGGAGTAGAGAGAGTGGGGCAGAGCCAGGCTCCGTGAGCATGAGGGTCCCCAAGGGACAGTGGACAGGGTGGTAAGGATCCAGCCAAGAGGACACTGGACAGGGACCAGGGCTGGCACCAAAGTTCGCCTCTGGGATTCTGCACTGTGGACACTGAAGCAGGCTTGGAAAGCATTCCTGATGGCTCAGTGTCTAGCATTGGGTCACCGCTTAGTAGGCGGTCATGTTTGTGGCTGAACAGATGAGGGGAGTGGTGACCATGCCCTCCCTCCACATCACACCACAGCGCAGGCGCTACAAGTCTGACCAGGGCGTTAAAGAAGGCTTGTGCCTCTGTTTAACCACCTGCTTGGGTGAGAACGCTTTTCTGGCTGCGGCAGTCAGGGCTCCCTGCCTTCATCTGAATGCTTAGGCGAGATTCATTATTTAAGCGACAGCACATCCCCCAAATAAACACGTGCGTCTTTGCAGCCCGCAGCCCGGGAGCGCTATTAAACACACAGCGGCAAAAGGCCCGGGCCCTCGCTGCTGCGTGCAATTTCCAGCCGCTCGCTATTCTTTTGTCACCGCCTTTTTATTGGTTTTCTCAAAGTGGTTACAATGCTGTTATTGTAAAACCCTCACACCAGAAGAGCGAGAGAGGCAGCAGTGAGTGCCGGAGAATGGAGCAATTTCTGCTGGGAGAGCCTGCAGCCCCTGTGGGGGAGGCTACCTAGAGAAGGGGGTGGGGGATGGAGTCTTTTCTTTGCTCAGGTCCACTTGACCAGCTCATAAATGCACTGGGAGCCAGGGCAGCCCTTGAATTCCCTAGAGGGTAAATGGCCTTGTTGCTTCTACCCCTTGGGAGGCCCCTCTGAAGAATCTCAGCGGCCCCTCCCCCCTCACTGTCCAGCTTGGCTTCTAGAAGCAAAACCAGAGGGTGGAGGACAGAAACGAGGCTCCATTGGGTTGTGACTTCATCAGCATCCCTGCTCCTCATCTTCAGAAAAGACTTCTTTGCACAGACATCCCCCTTCACCTCCCCAGATGTATTTGAGGTCTAATTTACATGCAATAAAATGTGCACATTTTAAGTGTACCTCCATCCTGATGACTTTTTACCCCGCCCAGCTCAAGAAATAGAGCGACGCTCTCCAATACAACCTCCTGCAAAGCTGGAAAAAAAATTGTGTTTGTCACATGGGGCTGTTCAGCACTTGAAATGTGACTAGTGCACTAAGGAATCAAACTTTTAATTGTGTTTCATTTTCATTTTACTAACACATGTGGTCACTAGCTACTATATTAGACAGCACATCTATAGAATGCTTCCATCATCCCAGAAAGTTCCTTGTGCCCCTTCCAGTAGGCAATCCCCAAGAGGTAGCCATTTTTCTGACTTCTGTTACCGCCCAGCACAGTAGACCAGGGCTTCTCTACCTTTCTATAGTTGACATTTGGAGAGAGGTAACTGGGGGTGGGGGTGGTAATGGGGGGGGTGCTGTTGAGTTCAGCTGCATCTCTGGCCTCCACCCAATAGATGGCAGTAGCACACACTCCCGATGGTGACAACTACAAATGACTCCAGATACTCTAGACATAGTCAAATGTGCCCCCAATGGAGGATAAGGTAGAGATTCTCCCCAGATTGATGACCACTGCCCTACAATAGCTTTTCCTGTACTTCAACTTCAAATAAATGGAATCATACAGTACATACCACATGCAGCTTTTTGTCATTATTATAAACGTCAGAGATGTATTAGTCACAAGTCCAGAAGCTGGAAGTCTGAAACCTGGTGCCAGTGTGGTGGAGGGAGGGCCCTTTTTCAGGTTTGTGGTTGACTTCTCATTGTATCTTCACTTGGTGGAAGTCCATGGGCAGCTTCTTTTGCTCCAATAAAATCTGTGAGATTCATTTGGGTTGTTGCAATATTGGCAGCACATTCCTTCGTATTGCAGACTAGTATTCCATTGCACCATGTGCCTGAGTTACTTTATCCGTGTGAGTAGTGATAAACATCTGGGTTGTTTCTACTGTGGGGCAATTATCCATAAGGTGGCTATGAACAGAACTCTGTGTGGACAAAGGTTTGCATTTCTCATGGGTAAATTCCCAAGAGCGGAATTGCTAGATCACAGATAGATATGTACATGACTTTATCAGAATCTCTTTTCCAGCATGACTCTGCTCCCATCAGCAGCATCTGCACATTCTAGTTCCTTCACAGCCTTGCCACTGGCATCACCATCTTTTAATTTTAGTCATAGCAGCTCTCCTCCCAAGACTGCCTTCCTGTGACTATGCAGGTGTCTCTTTTCTTTCTACTTTTCCTAATAAATCTGTCATTTTAAAATATAAAATGATATAGGAGTCAGGTTAAGAGTGCAGCCACAATAACAAGAGTGTCAGAACTGGGAGAGGCCTTACTGAGCTCTGAGTCCAGGACACTAAGTGTGCCTTGGAGCCCCCACAGCAGAGGTATGGCAGGTGGGTCCCCCCATGCTCCTTGTGCTCATCATCTTGTAAGAGAGGAGAGGGGAGAGGCCCTGGGTCATTCCACCAGGGAGGGAAGACAGTTAGGAAGATGATTCCTGGAAAATAGAGTTGGCCTCACAAAGGAGAATTGCAGGTAAAATATATCCTAGCAGGAACCTTCTCAACCTCTTCCCTCCCTCACCCCACCCCATTTCCAAAACACACACTCACACGCACACACACACACTCACTCACACACATCTCTACTAGAGACACAGCAATTTATTCTTTGTGAGGAGAGTGGTGATACTGAGGATGGGAGAACAAGAAAAAAGTAAAAAAAAAAAAAAGTGTTCAGTCACTACTTAGTGGCTAGCTAAGTTATTACTTGCCAACTTTTGCAGGGCATGCCCTAGGAATTTTATAAATGAGACACTAGAAGATGCAAAAACATCAAAGAAGTAAATCCCCACCCCCACCTCCATACAGCTTTTGGTCTAATTTTCGATGGAAAATAAACAGTGCTACTCAGAAGTTGGAGGTAACATAATGCCACCAGGACCTGGACACAGAGAGCTGCCTGCGTCGAGACTGACAGGGTGTGACAGGTTAATCCGGGGGGGCTTACCAGAGGAAGTCGGGAACCGAAGGAGAAGAGTGCCCGGAATTAACCACAAGACAGAGGGAGACCCCACCACTCTAATAAGAAAATGTGTCTTAACATGCTCCTTTGTTTGGTGCTGGTTCTAAGAGCCTCATTAACTGCAATGTTCCCCTAAATCTTATCTTGGGGAAATGTTATTCCCCCCTCCAAAAGAAAACATTTATCTATTTTTAGAACCAGAAGGAAACTCCTGGTAAAGAAACCATCTTCCCCTGCTACAATAGTTGGCGTCAGTCTCACGTAGGCCAACAGGAAGGTCTCTGACATTATCCTGCAGAGGTGGGGGGCAGGTGTAGGGGGCAGAGGGCTCCCCCAGAACTGGAAAGTGGTCCTTCTGGCCTTCAAAAGGTGGACCTTACTCACAGAGAGGGGACTTGGACCTCATTCTCTAGTACTGGAACCTTCTTAAGGGCTCAAAGTCGGCATCTGCTTGGGAAGAGGATCTTAGCTAGCCAGGAAATCAGAGGAGGCACCTCAGACTGAAGGTGTAAGCCACATGCTCCAGGTTCCTGTTTCTCTGTATATTTTACTCTTGGCCAACTTATTCCAGTGTAAGCTCAGTGAGGACAGGGGGCACTAATCTCCTTTATTCACAGCCACGTGAGCAGCTAAAAATGCTCTGGGCACAATGCTTACTGTTTATTGGATGGCTGAATAGCAAAACCCTAATGGGATGCTCAGGCCTTGATTTAGCTGAGTTACCCAGTCATCTTAGAAGGCAGAGTAACAGGAGAAAAGCAGTTGCCTTGCGGGTACAGCAGAGAAACACGATGTGCCAGCGAGACCAGCATGATTGTCTCAGGAGAGACCAGAGCAAGGAGCCCGAGGGGAAGGTGGCTCCTCTGAAGTCACAAAGGCCAGGCCATTGGTGCTGATCTCTGGGGGCAGCAGCTTTACTTTACTCAACAGTACCCTTTCATGGCCTCCTGCTTTATACAAGCCCCAGACCAACAAGGCAGAAACACAACATTTGGAGGAAGGAAAATCTCCAGGCATACAGAGGAGGCAGGACTCCTATTCCGCCCTCCCAGAATGCCCCTTCCTCTTGCACTTGGCACCTAGAATCTGTGGGCCACCTCCAGGAAAAATGCCCTTTATGATGGTCCCAGGAAGGACAGGGTCCTTTTCTCTGTGTCATCTCAGCCGAGTGGAGACAAGAAGAGTTTTTAAAATTTGCTTTGCGAAAGACTGAAGGAGGAACAGAAACGTAAGCAGCATAAAATCACACTTGTTTCCCAGATCCAGATGCCAGGAGGCCCGGACACCCTGGATCTGCTAAGTCAGCCAGAGGGCCAGCCAGTGGCCTCAGCTTGGCCTAACTCTCCCTACTCCCAGCCTCTGAGAGGCAGACATCATCTCTCTCCAGGGCCTGTGGGGACCTTTCCTTGTCCTTCTGCCACGGGGATGACACCTCCCAGGCACCCCCCCCCTTGGTCTCTTCCCCACGGTGTGAGGGCGCAGCTAGCCTGTGGATGATTTGCAGGACAGCTTGGTTGACAGCCAGCAAATAATAGAGCTCTCTGGGTCTGTGTTATCTAATCCACCTACCTCTGGAGCTTCCCTTGGCAACTCACTCAGGAAGCACCCTTCCCCCCACACCATCTGGAAGTGGTTTTTGAAAAATCGACTCATTATTGTTAAAAAGCAACACGTAGGCTTTGGCAAGATACAGTTACAACAGCAGCCCCTAGACTGTAAGTTCCTGGAAGGTAGGGGTGCTTACTTTGTGCCCTATCTGACACATAGGAGGAGCTGGATGAATGACTATGGAATGAAAGAGGCATGAATGCATTTATAATAAGGGCGTGCTGTTATTTCTGCATAACAAATTATTCCAAATTTAGCAGGTGAACAACCATTTTATTATGCTGGAAGTTTCCATGGGCTGGAGATTTGGACAGAGCATGGTAGTATGATGCCTTGTGTCTCTACTGCATGATGTCTGGGGTCTCAGTTGAGAAGATATGAAGGTTTGGGGTTCGGAATCATCTAGGCTCTTTCACTCACGTCTCGTGCTTGGGCTGAAATGACTCAAAGTCTGGACTCAGCTGGGACTGTGGAGCTGTGGACTCAGCTAAGCACTGTGGATCATGTGGCCTTTGTTAACCTTTAATAAAAGAACAGCAAGGTTAGAGGTAAGCCAAAATGCATTCTCTTGGAAATAGCAGAGAATTGCAAATAGGGGAGCAAAGGTTCAGGTTAGAAACCCAAAATATGTCCCAAGAAGGGACCCAGGTTGGGGGGGCTCTTAAGGAGAGAAAAAGAAGGATACATTAACAGCTGAGGTCATGGTTGAGGTCACGGTCACTTGGGTCACAAGGTGAAAAATAAGCCCAAGATCACTTTTATCAGTCCTTTTAATCTGGCTAGTCTCCCTGCTGGCTTCTTAGAACACTGGTGGTCTGGCCCAGTTCAGGGATTTGGTTTCATTCACAGGGGATGGCATTTTTTCCGGCTGTGTCTTACTCCAGCCCTATTTCAAAATGGCTGTAGTGATGTGAACCTTTCACACCTCTGTATGTAGATGGGGCTTCCTCACAGCATGGCCAGCCAAAGGTCATCAGCGTTCTTATGAAGGTGACTCAGGGCTCTAAGGACAAACTGCCTCACCTCCTATGACCCAGCAAGTTCATACTCTTAGGTGAAGGTGTCATCAGCAGATCCAGATTCAAGGGGAGGTGAAACAGACTCCACCCTTCATTTGAAGGAGTGTCAGCAAACTATGAAAGTGTGTTTTAAAACCACCACAGAGCCTGAACGATGAGAAAGCCCTGTCTTCTTAGGCTTTCGCATTCCTTCCTTCAACAGAATTTATATTATGCATCTACCAATGTATTAAGCCCCGGGTTGGGGGATTTCTGGGGGATGAGCAAAACAGATATTGTCTCTGCCCTTGTCTAGTCTGTATTCTACTAGAGAAGGCAGACATTAAGCAAATTAACACCTAATCAAATCCACAGTTACAGGGGCCTCCCCGGTGGCACAGTAGGTTGAACATTGCACTAGGAGGCAATCCATAGGCTCTGCAGCGCAAGTTCGATCCCCGGCCAGCCAAGGGAGAAACCCACATGGCGCAGCAGACCTCTCCTGTCTCATCCACTGCTTCCCTCAGCAGTGTATTTCAGGCAGTCTGCCTGTTCTGTTCCCCACTCTGTCTCTGGTGGATCCTCTCACCCCCCACATCTCTGGCCTGTACCCCAGCTCTTGTATGCATAAATAAATAAATCTTTAAAAACAAACAAACAAAACAAATCCACAGTTACAGATCATGATATAAGTACCATGGAGGGGGCGGGTACCCTGAAAAAAAAAACAGGGGGACTTAATTTAGATGGGAAGCATAATCTGACGCAAGGTTTTGAGTGCAAGTAGTTTCTTCGGAGGCAATTCTTGGAAGCACCCTAGGACAATGAGGACATGAGAGCCAGGAAGGAAGTGAGAGAATATATTCATAAATAGGTTGCCACTGAGGGAGGACGGCCTTCCATGCCAGGGGATACTTCCCGTTGACCACGTCGGATTGTCCACCCTGAAGGATGAGGAAGCTGGTGTATCTACCCACCAAATCCTAACCGGCAGAGTTAGGGGCACAGTTGTGGGCTACCCACTCAGGCAGCCAGGGAGAGCTTCAGGCAAGGGTTCCCAAGTGCTCCCGAGGTGCCTGCCCCAAGAGGATAAGATGGTCCTCCTTAAACAAGTGATCTTCACAAAGAGGCCTCCAAGGTCAAGAGCAAATATTTGTCTGTGGGAGATGTGGCTTTTCACCCAATGCCACCTTGGTGCCAGTACTCAGCAGTCTTAGATAGCGGTGCTTTTTTGGTTTTCCTCCTGAAGCCTATGGATTCTCAGTGACTGTCCACACTCACCACTCCTCCCCGTTGTGACTAATGGGAAGACACACTGGCCAAACTGCTGACAGGCCGGCAAGCTGAGGTTGTTGTGCCACAAGAACGTTTGCCCTTCGTGTGAGGTTAACTGCCAGGAGCTCACAAGGCCAGACTCTGCAACTCTGGTCTCAGCTGAGCTTAGCCGCAGAGGCGGGCCCACCCGAAGTTACAGGACACAATTCACACGGGGGGAGTTTTGTGGGGGAGTGTTCCTTCATGTTTTTCAGTTTCCTCAGAGGAAGGCACTGCAGGGAAAACAAGTGACACCCTTTGTCCACCCTTGTCCAGGGGCGGATACGTTAGCTGGAGACCATGCTCTTCACCAGTGCACAGTTCACGGTCCAGCTGCCAGGTGGCTCTCCAGCTCTGGACGGGTTGGTGAGAGTCCAAGAAAACGCACGCAGTTCCTGCGCAAAGCTGTGCCCCACTAGGCTCCTCGGAATCCCAGGGCTGCCGAGAACTGTGGGTGACGGTACAAAAACACCATTTAATCATCTAGAGCCACGGGAGGAAAAATGAGTGAACTGCTGAAAGAAAAAGTATTCTTGCTAAGACAATATAATACTCTTTTCTTTTCAAATAGCGAAATGGAATTTCTGTAACATTTTCAAACAGCGTTTGTCTTAATGACCCTCTTAAAGCATCTTTTTCCAATTCAACTGTTACCAAATGTCAAGTATATGCCATGCCCTGGGTTAAGCAATTTTTGAAGTGAAAAATACGAAAAATAGTGACTGCTGTGGTGGTGAAGGCGCTTGGCAGTGTGGGTAACTGAAGTCACCGAATGCAGCCCTGGGCCACTTGTCAGCGTGTTTCTCGGCTCGCTCCCTGGCACTTACCTGAGGGGCCTGCGGCTCCTCAGTGTTCTCCCCACAGCTCCCATCCTCACCTGGCTCACTGCCACCCTGAGGACAGCAATCCGGTTTGTGTGTGTGAGAGAGAGAGACAGAGACAGAGAGAGAGAGAGAGAGAGAGAGAGAGAGAGAGAGATGATGAAGAGGAGAGGCGAGCAGGGAAGGGCAGGGAGCAGAGAATAGGGGAGGAGAGAAGATTTGACTGGGCTGGAAAAAGCCAGGAAGTCAAATTCCTAACCCAGTGACAAATAAAATTCCAGCTGCACCAAGAAAGAGCAGTGGTGAAATCATTCACACTCGGAATTCCTGTCGGCGGAAAATAAACTCACCCTCGCTGATGAACGGAAATTTAGGGAAAGGGGTGTCCAGAATTCCAGGCCCCTCATCCCAGTCCCTGCCATAGGGCACAGGAGACTTGGTGGCTTGAGAAAGGAAGCTGAGGGTCTGGGTGACAAAGGCACCCACAGAAACCTTTAGGCCCAGTTGCTAACAGTTGGGAGAGGTGGAGCAAAGAGGCCGGAATGAGGCAGGGAAACAGTGGGAAGTCAGAGGAAAGGGAAGAGCAAGTGGCCGAGGGCCAGGAGGGCAGGGAGGGGCATGGAGCTGGAGCTAGAAGCCCAGAAGCCCTGGTTGGTGGGTGATTTGAAGAAGACACCCTGCAAGTCCTGGTTGAGGAAGAAGAAGGAAGGAAGACAGCTGTTATGCTCAGGGGAAGGAAAATAAAACCCCAGGTGAGGCTTTTGAAGCGGTTTCAACAGCGATCGGAAATGGGGCCTGTGTGGTACAGAAAAGACTTAGAAGAGCTGGAATCCTGGGTCTGAGGCCCCACTCCCCCATGCCCAGTGTCTGGGTGCCCCCAGAGGTTGGGCATGGCTGAAAGCCACTCAGGTTTCCACCTCCTCCCCAACCAACCATCCTTCTGCCTTCTCACACCAGTTCCTGTGAGTCCCTGTCAGTCTGTCTGGCAGCTGATGGGAGGGGCACTTGAGCAGACCGGGAGGAGGACAGGCCCCAGAAGCCCCTGTTACTAACTGTAAGCGTCCCTCCCCAATTTTGGACTGCCTCCACTGTGACTCTCTTTGGAGGCCCACCCTCAGAGAGTCAGAAACATCTAGAAGTTTCTAGCCACACTCCCAGGGCCGTCCTTAGCCAACTGTGATGAGAGTACAACAGGTTGGATCTCTCACTAGGACAGACTCTGAGGTGTGACTTACTCTCCAGAGCTGCCCTCCCCCACTCATGGGATCGGGCTGAGGCTCCCCTCTGCAGCAGGACTGTGTCTGCCATTGCTCTCCTCCCCTTCCTGGCGCTACTTCTTCTATACCCTCTCGGTACGTCCCAGAAAAAAAAAAAAATCACTTCCACACAAATCTTCCTCTCAGAGTTTGCTTCTGGGGAAATGGAAGTCATCGCCACCCCGCACCCGCACACGGAGCTGGGCAACAACAGCTTCTTCTGCAGGTGCACACCTTACACGGGGCCCCTCGGCTGGTCCTCAGGAGGAAGGAGCCGGCCACACTGGTAGTGAGCCTGGCACAGAGGAGGAAGCGATCACAGGGCTCAGAAGGGACTTGCCCAGGATGGCAGAGGTGGTGAGCCCAGATGTCGCTAGCTCCAGCGCCAGTGTTCTTGACACCCCGCTGAAACAAGATGGGGGCTGTAGGCTCTCCTGTGGTGAGCCTTGCTGCGCCTGAAAGGAGCCAGCGTAATATCTCCAGGAGCCTGGCAGCCAGGGGCCATCTGGGGCCAGCCCGGTACACAGGACGGTGACCAAGGAGGTAAGGGAAGCTCCGTCTTGCCTCTGTCTTGGCGGGCTTGCCCCAGGAGCCAGTTTCCCGAAGCACTGCTGGACAGACAAGCACCCCAAGACCTCCTGCTAGAGACTCACTGGTTAACCAAACTCCCCAATCTCCATGTGTTTTTTTAAGACAACCCCCCAAAGACAGCACTTACTAGGAGGAGTTCAGAAGCTGCCAAAAACACCCTATGAATAAATGTTCAGGGTTCCATCCGGAGACGCCCACGGTGACTGATGAGTCATCAGATGACCAGCTGTCACCACAGAGCGCTATATATAGAAGGAGAAGGCCGGAGGGTGCCTGGGACCCAACGCAGGGAGGAGGGAGGAGCAACTCGAAGGCTCGCCTGGCTGGGGGGAGGGCCCCGAGTACCTGGAAAATGCACCCTCAGCTCCCCCAAATAACAGAATCTGGGTCAGCGATTCCCCGACACAGAATGCTGCTGGAACCGGAGGCAGGCAGCAGTCGGGCCGGACGCGACGCTGCCAGCGCGGATGATGATCGCCGCTAATGACGGTAATGGGAGAAAAATGGTTCAGGCAACTTCCCGCACAGCACTGCCTGCTC